GAAATTCCAAAGCCTTAAGCCCCCAAGGTTGGGAGAAATTAGCACACATTACAGTGGTACCAGGAGGCACAATGCAATAAGTGCTACATGCTAGTAGTTCTGATGTAAGAGAGTCTGGGCTAGTGACTCAGAACTTTCTCCACTAATCAGGGTGAGATTTGTTACCCCCTCAAGCTGATATAATTCCACTCAAGAGGCCTGATGCCTTTTTAGGTCTTGTTCTCAGTGTCTTATTCTCTCTTAATTCTAAAACCAGCAGGCAGACCATGTTCTCTCTTTTCTATTCCTTAGAATGGATGCTTGCTCAGTGTTCTGAGTCTTCTTCCACTGACTTTTAATGCTGTTCCCAAAGAAGATGCATCAGGTGTGAAATTTGGGTTTCTGCAGAGTGCTGATCACCAAACACTCTAAACAGTGCTAGTTCCTCTTACCACAAATTCAAAAAGAACTCCATTAGAATTTTCCTTTCACAGGGAATCTCCTGAAGTTTCCTTTTACCCCTCTACTGCCCTCTTTATCCTCAAAAAAATAGGGCTATATTTATCCTTAAATGTATAATGTTTCAGTAGGAGCATTTTGAAGCTGTGATGATTCTGTTGTAGTAGCACAAGTATGGAATACTTCAAAATAAGGGCACTTCAAGCTTGGTTCCTAGGCCAGGAATATTAGCAATTTCTGGCATCTTGTTAGAAAAGCAAATTTTCAGGCCCACTACTAAATCAGAAGCTCTGGGTGTCTAGTACTTTTGATTTAACAACCTTCTTCTAGGGTGCTTAAGTAAGTGCTTGAGGTCATATCGTGGGCTGCTGCACTGTCATTCCTGGGATGGTTGTCCAGCAGTGTTGTTTATTGTCATCGCTTAATCATTAATGACATGAGAAAGGTATACTTTAGAATTGACAATGTGTGGTGGTGTTATTGGCAAACCTTTAAGTTTCAGAGGCTGCTTTTATTTTCTTTGTTGGTAATGACCAACAGTAGGAAACAGAATGCTGTAAATCCTCGTTTCCAGGGTTACCTTCTTACTGCTGATAACAGGCAGGAAATTAAAACAATCTGTGATAGTGTTTTGTTCTTATTAACCACAGACAGTAGTTTGCAGATATGCTGGAGCAAAACATAAATAAATATAGCAGGGGAATTACATTATGAGGAAAAATGATTTCTCTAGGTCAAGTTTATAGTCTGGGTTCATTTTTTAATTTTATTTTTATTTTTTAAAAAGATTTATTTATTTATGCATACAGGAGCTGGGGTACAGGCCAGAGGTGTGGGGGGTGTGTGTGAGAGGATTCACCAGAGACAGAGTAGGGAACAGAACAGGCAGAAACACACGACTGAAACACAATGCTGGGGGGAGCAGCGGGCGAGTTAGGAGAGGTCTGCTGTGCCATGTGGGTTGCTCCCTGGCCGGCTGGGGATCGAACTTGTGCTGCTGGGGATCGAACTTGTGCTGCAGAGGTTGTGGACAGCTTCATAGATTGCGTCTTAACCCCTTGCGCCACCAGGGAGGCCCTGGGTTCATTTTTTAAAAAGATTTTATTCATTTTTGTAGAAGAATTGGGGGATAGGCCAGAGGTGAAGGGGGTGAAAGGATTCATCAGAGACAGAGTGAGGAGCAGAGCAGGTGGATTTACTGAAATACACTGCTTAGGGGAGTAGTGGGCGAGACCAGAGAGATCTACTGCGTCAAGTATGGGTTAGCTCCCTGACTGGGAGTTGAACTCAGGCCACAGCAGTGATAGCAGTGATAATCCCTAGGCCACCAAGGAGGACCTAGACTGGTTCATTTTAATGAAATGGAATATAGGCAACATATTAGCATTCTAGTACCACAAGATATTAAACTGTACAAGGGGACTATTTTTCTTTTTGGTTTAATTTTGAGACTGTAGAACATATACATGATTTCAAAGTCAAAACTACATAACAAGTTAGATATCTCACTTCCGTCCATATCCCTCTTCTATTTTTAGTCCTTCATAGGTAATCATTTTTAGTAGCCTTTTGATTTAGCCTCCTAGTGTTTCTTTTTCAAGAGAATCATAAATATGTATGTATATATTTCTTATCTCCCCAATCTACTTTCTTTACACAAATGGTTACAAACAATACTGTAACTTTATAAAGTTGACTCTATTAAGGTGTAACTTCAATTTTTAAAAATTCACTACAATTATGTGTACAATCTGAGTTTTGAAAACTGTATGTAGTTGTAGAGACGACAGCACCAGGAAAGTATCAATCATTGCCATCACCCAAAAAGTTTTCTTTCTTTTTTTTTTCTTTTTGTGGGACCCTCGCCAGTGGCCGGGGAACGAGCCGGTGCTGCAGAGGCCGCGGGCAGCCTCGCAGCCCAGCGCTCAACTGCTGTGCCACCAGGGGAGGCCCCCCAAAAAAGGTTTCTTTCTACCCTTCTACAGTCAATCCTCTCTCCTATCTCTCTGGTCCCTGGAAAACTCCCTATCTGTTTTCTATCACTATATTTGCTTTTTTCTAGAATCTCATACATAGTTAGGGGTGGTGTGCATGCATGCATGTGTGTGTGTATTTTGTTTATGGAGGCTCAGCCATGTTGATACATGTATGAGTGGTTATTCCATTTTACTACTGAGTAGTGCTCCATTGTTTATACATCCCAGTTGATGGATTGGAATAATCCTGTTGATATGTGCATTTTGCTTTCTGTTTTCAAATTATTTTGAAATTACAGAATACTTCCAAGGAGCACAAGAATTTTCACATACCCTTTCTCCAGTCTTCCCAACTGTTAATATCTCATATGGATGTTGTACAGTTATTAATAATTAATACTGATACAATGCTATTAACTAAAACAGGTTTTATTTGGATTTAAATTTTTCCATTGCATTTAACTGGCATAATTTTTTGGTATTTAATCCTGACAGACCCTCAGGCTTCCCATATCTTTAAACCAGTACTTGTTTAGGTATTTTATTAGAATGTCCCTCAATTTGTCTGATGATTGGACTATAGTTAAAGATTCTTAGAAAGAATACCATAGAGTTTGCATCATATTATGTTAGGAGCTATGTAAAATCAGTATGTCTTATTACTGGTGAAGTTAACCTTGATCACTTGGTTAAGGCAGTGCCTGCCAGGTTTCTCCAACTGTAAAGTGATTTTTTTTTCTTTCTTCTCTGCAGTCTGTTTTTTTTTTAAAAATGTTGCTTTATAAACTGTTAAAATTCTGATGTACAGAAGTGAACCCATATGGACACAGAGCTTAGCGACTCTTCAATTTTAATTGTAATAGTTGCAACAATAGCTACCACTTTCTCCACCTGCATAATTATAAGTACATGTGGATTATCTCATTTAATCCTCAGATGCCCCTGTGAAGGAGGCACTTTACTTATGCCCACTTTACAGTAAAGAAGACTGAGGCAAAGACAGTCTTGCCTAAGGTCCAGCAGTTAGTAAGTGATGGAGTCAGAACCTAATTCAGCCTAAGTAAAAGGACAACTTTTATTTTAACACATGCCACATGGTTGTAATCAGAGCTTAGAACAGGGATGCACTCACTCCTTGCCAGAGAAAACAAATGAAAGCTTCCTACATTTGATGTTTCTCTCTTGTTCTTTCTTTATGAAATATTTTTGTTTGTTTTTACTTTCAGGAAGATATCTAGTATGACTTAAGATTTTAGTAAGCAATACAAGGCAATAAAATTACATTGAAATTTGGGAGACATCCAGAATTCTTTAGGGAGCATTTAGGATCTATCTTTAGACACCTTCTTTCAGACATATTCTTTCAGGAATATGATTGCAGGCTAGCATAGTATTTATAATAGAAAATTGATTTTAAAGGAGTATTTTCTTAAAAAATGACACTGTGACTTACCTCCCACCCCCAGATTTTTTTCAGCCACTCCTAACAAGGGTGATATGTTTGTCTGTGTTTATCTAAACTCTATGTGTTCACTTTTGTTGACCACACTAATGACTTTTCTACTACACAGGCAAATTTGTCTCTGAATAGCCTGACTCAGAGCTTGATAACTGTGGTTAAATGATGACTCAATATCTATGAGACCCTATTCTAGTAGCAGCAGAAGCACTGAAGGTCAGGCCGTGTGGGTGGACATTTGTGCATCTTTCCCATGACTCACTTGGCAGCCTGCCCTCCTGAGGGAAATAGCTGGAGGTGGCTGAATGCTCTGTGCCTCTCCTGCCTTCCCTGTTCCATCACACTATGGTGATAGGGCAGCCCAACCCCCTAAATCACATTGCTCATGTCTTGAATGTATCTAGTCTGCCAACCTGTCCAGATATCAGTGTAATTTTTTAAAATAAACTTTATTTTTGTTTGTTTCTAAATGTCTCTTGTATGCCTGGCTGGAGTTTACACATCAAACAAGACACTGCTCACCACCCAAAGCCTTCCTGGACAAGTCTTTGCATAGAAACCATAGAACTTCTTTCCTTGGGAAGAAGAAGGAAACTGTTTAAGTCTGATGCTTGCATACAATAACTGGAAAATATTGTAAGAGTAGAAAGTTATTTGGGGGATAACTAAGATCATATTCGAGGGTATCTGGATCTGAATTCAGAAGTCAGAGAACTCTAAGGATTGGTCTTTTTCTTAGATATGGTTCTCTATACATCCATGATAGAGAATGATAAATCAAAGAAAATGAGAGAGGGGAAAGTGGCCATTTATACCACCAGATGTAGCCATGCTTGTTTTGACAGGTTTTCACTCTTTTCCTCTCATGCTGGAAATATATCTGTAATCCTGAATTCTTAAATGCAATACTGTGTCATAAGGATTTTTATTTTATTGTGTAAAGAAAAAGACTTAATTTGATGGGAGAAGAATAGCTTGTTTTAAATTTGTATTTCCTTAATACTTTAGTTAGGATTAACAATCTTATGCTCATTATCAATTTGTGTTTACCTATATAAATTGTTAATTTTTCTATTTGATCTTTTTGTAAAATTGGAAGTGTCACTAAAGCAAGCCTGTGATTTCAGATGTCCTAAATGATGCTATATTTGATGAAGATCATGATGAGATGGTGATAGTGAAGGACATAGATATGTTTTCCATGTGTGAGCATCATCTAGTTCCATTTACTGGAAAGGTAAGGCTATTATTTCCTAACAATTTCAAAAAGCATAATGACAACTTTTAAACTGGGATAATTATATTTAAAGCAGTCACCTGTTAAACCCCCAAATCCCAGACATTTAGAATTATACATAAAATATTTATTCTTTATCAATCTGACCAATCTAAATGCTTGAACAAACAGAAAGTGGCAGAAGCCCCTCAGAGCAAGAGTCTCATAAATGCCATGTTACTAGGTTAAAGTAATGAGGGTAAAGTGGCATCTTTTTTTCTAAGTAGCAGCTGCAGGCTCTGAAAACCTTTGTCCTTTATTCTGACTGACTAATGTTTGGCCCAACATATACTTATATGTAATATGTCTTGAGCAGTAGTGACTGCAGAATTTCTTGGGGCAGAAGTTAGTAATGTTAGTAGATTTAATTCCCCCCCGGCCCCACCCAACCCTTTCTAATTCCTTATTTTTTTTTTTTTTTTTTTTTACAAAATGGCACTGTATTTTCACATAACTCATGATTTTTGAGTTATGTAAAATTAATTTCTTTTGCTGCTTCTCCTCTGAAGGTCCATATTGGTTATCTTCCCAACAAGCAAGTCCTTGGCCTCAGCAAACTTGCAAGGTAAGTATGACGACATGGTAAATAGGAAAACAGGTTTATAGAACCTTCCCTTCTACAGGGACAATCTCTGTATCAGTGTGATCTAGCTTGGAAGGCACATTGCAACTTAAAATTTATAGTCACAGAGACAAACAGACTGAGAGGGCCTGAAACACAAATGCCCCTTTCTTCTGACTCCTCCACTGCTGGCCTCCTTCCCCGCTTCTACCCCTTCTTCCACCAGCTCAGCCTTGAAGTCTAGTTCACACCTTCTCAGTAGAGCCTTCCCCAGCTGGAGATGACCCGAGGGTACCTTCAGTTCAGACCCATCTTTTGAGGATGATTTAGCTAGCAGTGAGGGGTGAGGGGACACCTGTGCTGGGATCTAATTGCACTGCACTGTTTTCAGATTTTTGGCAAACCAGTGTTTGGTACCCTCAGCCTCAGCCCTGCTTTCCTCTGGGTTCCTCTGGGCATCTCTCTGGGCCCCAGTCAGCTCTCTTTTGGTTTCTTTGCCTCTGCAGTCACAAGTATGTGCCTTCCGAGGCTTCCTCACCTTCATTCCAAGATAGTGTTTACTCCTCTTTCCTTTCTGCCACAGTTTTCTGTCTTTTATCCTGTGCTTCAGGTTTTTTTTTTTTTTTTTTAAATTCCTTTCCATTGTCATTTGGCTTTTAGGAAGGAGAGGTAATATACATACACGGTCGTCTATGTTTAGCTGAAGTTAACCTGAGGATCAAGTGTTCATCTATTTCTGAGGGCCCAACCAACAATATTTTATTGCTCCCAACTATGCTTTTTTAGTAATTTCCTTCTATAGAGTTAGAGAATCTGGGATGAGTGGGAAAAACTGGGAAGTATGAGAGAGAGTTAAGAGCAAAATGAAGGAATACGTAATGAATGTACCGTTAAGCGTCCCCTTCCCCAACGCCATTATAAAAAATGGACGAAGCTAAGTTTCAATAACTTGATTGAGGCAACACTGACCATATCAAAGTGAAATAAATGAATGAATCTTTGTGACCTGACTGACTTCTCTGTGGCCCTGTGTTCCTGTTGCTGCATCACTTTAGCGCTGGGATTCACACAATTTTCAAATGGCGATAGAGATATTTTTTAATTCTGTGGTAGAACCCTAAAAATGACCCCAGCAACCTAATATCTGTGCTCCATAGCTGGTTTTTTGTTTGTTTGTTTTTTTTACTGCTAATTTTTCACCCATATTCTCTAGGGAAGGAAAAAGCAGGTAGAAGAGAGAAATATAACTTCCCCAGATTCAGAACTTATTCTTGCTCAGCATTCTTACTCTATCCATCAGATAGGGTTTGTTGGCACCATAAAAGGATGTTATTATATAATAGTTATACTCGCTTCACTGGTGTAAAGTTCTTAACAGAGATCCAGAAACAGCTTGTCTTTGTTCAGGGACCTGTATTCAGTGGCAGTGCCAACGGTGGCTGAGAATGAGTGTTGGTGGTGATGGGGGTTATTAATCCTCACATTTCTATTCTCATCCCTCTCCCCAGTAACCTGCTCCCAAATGATGATGATGATGAATTCACAAAAACTGTGGATAAAACTGTCTTAATACTTTGTAATATATGGTCTAAGTAAAATTAGTGTATTTGCTATGTAAATGTAGCTGTAGGCCCAGTCCCAGGTGCCCTCTTAGCAAGATTGCCAACCCTATACCTTTTCCTTGTAGAAATTCTGGAATATGCCTGCAACATACTGTTCACAAGTGAAAGGTGTGTAGTGGATAGCGTTTATGTTATATAATAGCTTGGCAGACCACATTAGACCTTGGCCTCAATGTAAGCAAGCTTCTCTAGAAGACCACATTGTGTACACTACAATGGGTAACACTTTATGGAAAAGAATTCTAGAGTGATCCAGTGAGGTCTTGGAATACATAATAACTTGGGGGTAGAAGGAAATAATCTTTGGTTATTTCCTTTTCCTGGTGAAAGGAACATATCTCAAATAATTAAGTTCTTATGAAATAATACAGAGAAGTTGATTATTGGAATGGGGGATTTGTGAATAAGCCAGAAAGAAAAAGAAAAATACCGGATGGTCTCACTCATATCTAGAAAACTTAAATAAGGGACCAGGAAAATGAATAAGGAATGGGGGATTTGTTTTTATTTAATCTTTATAAGATTAAAACTTAAGAAAAAAATGGAACTCTAAATCAAAGAACCAAGTATGTTACTTTCAGATATTTTGTAAAAAATTTGAATAACAGATCTATTAAATGGAAAAAAAGAACAAAATTTCATCCAACTGCTTATTTCTTATAAGAAGTTAGAATGTTTTAGGGAATGAAGAGCAATAAAGAAAGCTGAATATCTTAGCAAAACTTCACCATTCATTTTAATCTTGTATGTGAGGTTTGTTATATGCTTGCCTTTAAACGAATGACCTTTCAATGCCAGGGAAGTCAAATATCAAACAATAAAGCCTTAAGTAACAAGAAAATGCCAAGGGTAACTTGATCTGGTTTAACTCTAGTAGAAATCTAGAGTAAATTTAGTTTGAATAGAAATTTATTTTGTGGCTGAAAATCCATTGAACATGTATTGGTTTTCTTGCCTTAGAATAATTGAATGAACAGATTAAATCTTGAATTTAGAATTGTGGTGCCTGGGGGTAGCTATGGTTAATCTGTTTATGAGTACCTATTGTGAAAGGGCACTGTGTCAGCTACTGGTGCTGCAAGAGAGAAGTAGGACACAGCCACTGCCCTCAAGGAGGGTGGACCACATGGGGAAGCAGGTGGCACAGAAATGCCTGGTTTGGAGCTCTGCATTCAGAAAATCTAGGATATCTGTGGTTCCTCCAGCTTAAGAGACTTCAGGTGTAGGGCTCAGCAGAATTCTAAATGAAGAAATTCCTTTAGGAATTTCAAACACAAATAATGGTGTTGGAGCAAGATATATCCTACTGGGTAGGGAGTTGACTGATGAAAAGAGATTTAAGCAAGGGTGATAGGAGATAGTTTAAAACGGAGAGTGGGCATCAGATTGCAGAGTGAAGATTCTGTTTTTCTTCTTTCTATTATAAAAGTAATATACCTACCTGTTAAGCTTAAATACAAATGAGTAGGTAAAGGGAAAGTTTTTCTTTCCTATTTCCATTCCCCAGATTTAAAACTGAGATTTCCTGCACTATCTCTCTGGAAATTTTCTGTGCAATTTCCGTGTTAAAATTAGCAGAACTAAATAAAACAAAAAAGGGAGAGTATACTCTACATTTTTATTACAACTTGCTCTTTTAAAAATTTAAAACATCTTGAAATTCCTTAGGCATCTTTTAGTCCAAAAAGTCCAAGTTCCTTTTAATGGCTAAATAGTATTTCATTGATTGATTTAACCAGTCTTTGATATAGGTAAGTATAGCGTACAGTTTGAGGTTATTGTCAAAAAGGAAACAATATGCTTTGGTGAACATATTGCTGTATATTTGCTTTCTTTGCATCTGCCTGTGAGATAAATTACTCAAGTTTAGTGGGCAAGGATAGCTGAATTTTGATATTACCAAATTGCTCTCCAAGAAAGGTAATGCCAATTTATCTCTGGTAATAGATAATTGTGTGTTTCTCCACACTTGCCAATACTTGCTTTCATTGCACTTTTCATTTTTTTGCCAAACTGATAAATGAAAAATAGTACCTATTATGTTAATTTGCATTTATTTAATAGAGTGATATTGGATCTCTTAGGAAATTTTCTGCTCCTTAGCCTTTGATAATTTTTCCATTGTATTTTAATTACTGTTTTGCATGAGCTCACTAATTAAAGTAGTTAGGCCAGGTGCTACAGATACTTTTTCCCATCTTGTCATTTGTATTTTGATTTTGTTTTATTGTTTTTCCATAAGGAAGTTTTAAAACTTTTATATCATCAATTCATGTTTTTAAGGGACATATTTTATGGCTTTATTTTTATATTTAAATCTTTGCTTCATCTAGAATGTATTTTTGGGCAAGAGTGAGAAAATATCTATATCCATTGCTGTTGTTTGGTCACCGACCTGAACACCCCCAGCTCCCTCCCACTGCCATCTCGACATGACGTACTCTGCTGGGCCTTTCTTATGTTCTTTCTGGATTATATGTGATAATCTTAGCTCCTCCCTGGCTTCTAGTCTCTTAGGGTCCTTAAACTTGCTCTCCTTTGTTGTTAGGGTATTCTTTCTAAAGTATGGATTTGACGATGTTGTGTCTTTGTAGCCCTCATAGCTTTTAAGATAAAGTTCAGACTCCTTACTTCACCTGACAAGCTTCACTGTGAGCCTGCTGCTCTTTTGTCAGTTGCTGTAGCCACATTTGAAAATCTGCAGCTTGGTGTTAAGTCAAGCTTGTCAAATCAGGTTATGTGAAGGCATCAAAAGATAGTCTTTGGGGGTGGGCTTTCGCTTGCTTATTCTTATTTATTTGTTTGTTTGTTTTAATAATACTCTTAAGATTTACAAGGATTAAATTGTAAAATCTATGGGTTCATCCTGTACAAGTGTCAGCAGATTACTTTCTCAGTTGCAAATGGAACAGAAGAAAAGAGAAAGCAAAAATGCAAAAGAGAAAACAGAAGGCCTACTACAGATGTTATAAGACCAATAAGGGGGCTGTTTAAGATGCTCTTTGCGTTAAAACTAGTGCCTAACCATGTTCCATTTATTAAAAAAAAAAAACACAGAAGCTTAACTTGAGAAATCAAGGGAAAACTTATCAAAGGGAATAAAACAATTTCTCTTATTTTGAGGAAGTTTGTATAATAAAGTTGTCATGATTCCTGGTCAAATGAATTCAAAACAGAAAACAGGGAGGAATTGGCTGGAACACAAGAGAGACCCACAAATTTGAAAGAAGTGAATGCAGAAACTAATTATATCTCATTGTGACTGAGGAGGACAAAAAGATCATACAAAACAGAGTACTAAATTTTGTCCAAAGGCAAGCTTAAACTTAAGCAAAAAAATTTGAACAGGGCCTCCCTGGTGGCGCAAGGGGTTAAGACACAACTTATGAAGCTATCTGCAAACTCTGCAGCACGAGTTTGATCCCTGGCTGGCCAGGGAGCAACACACATGTCGCAACAGACCTCTCCTGACTCACAGGCTGCTCCCTTCAGCAGTGTATTTCAGTCAATCCACCTGTTCTGCTCCTCACTCTGTCTCTGGTGAATCCTCTCACCCCCCCACACCTCTGGCCTGTACCCCAGCTCTTGCATGCATAAATAAATAAATCTTTAAAAAAAATTTGAACAGGCTATTGTGTAAAAAAAAAAAAAAAAAAAAACCACCCTAAAAATTAGTAATACAAAATTTAAAAATTTCATTGTTTAAAAACTAGCTATTTAGGGCCTCCCCGGTGGCGCAGCGGTTGAGTGCTGGGTTGCAAAGCTGTCTGAAGCCTCTGCAGCGCTGGTTCAATCCCTGGCTGCTCCCCGGCCACCAGAGGAGGGTCCCACATGGCGCGCAGACCTCTCCTGCCGCCTGCTGCTCCCCTCAGCAGTGTACTTCGGTCCTTCTGCCTGCTCTGCTCCCCGCTCTGGCTCTGGTGAATTCTCTCACCCTCCGGCACTTCTGACTGTACCCAGTGCTTGTATAAATAAATAAAAATAAATCTTTAAAAAAAAACCTAATATAAGTTGATTAAAAAACAAACAAACAAAAAAAAGCCCAAAAAAACTAGCTATTTAGAAGTTACAATAAAAAAAATTTCTTTGACATGATAGACAGTCATAAGGAAGCAGACGCTGTGTATCAGTGTATGCGGAGCATGGGCACCCCAGTCACCACATAATCATGTACACAGCAGGCACTCAGTGATCATCTGTGAGGATCACCTCCGTTGGCATGGCAGTAGCTATCACAAGCAGGTTGGTGATAGTAAAGTATTAGGGAAATTATTATTGCAGTGTGGAGCAAAACATGGATGCCTAGCATCACCACTGTTGTCTACCTGAAATTCTGCTCGAGAAAGACAATTGATGACAATGAGAAGGAAGACATTGCTAGTTTTCAAATTGACAGCATCTCCTATTTATGTAATGGTAATTAATCTTTTGGGGAACTATCAAAAGTAATGTATACAGAAATTTAACCCAGTAAGAAACAAGAAATGTTTGGTATCTAGAAGCTGAAAAGCCACCCTTTCTTGGGTTTTTATTAAAAATAAAAAAATGTGTAATTGTATTCCTTCAGTGTTGTGTATCTACTGGGAACAGAGAGAACTTACCTTCACACTGAGTGGTATATGAGATTCTGCCCCTGTTACTAACTTTGTTGGGTATAAGCAGTATAAAGGAGCAAGCTGTCATTTCTGTTTGAGCAGCAAGATGTAGGGAAGAGCCATGAAATGCCTCATAGGGGAGGTGATCCTTAATTGTGTCCAAATTCATGATTCAAGGCCAATTTTTTTTAAAGACTTATTTATGCATGCAAGAACTGGGGTACAGGCCAGAGATGCGGGGGATTAGAGGATTCACCAGAGACAGAATGGGGAGCTGAATAGGTAGATGGACTGAAATACATTGCTGAGGGGAGCAGCGGGCGAAACAGGAGAGGTCTGCTGTGCCATGTGGAATAGAACTTGTGCTGCAGAGGCTGCAGATATCTTCACAGAGCTGTGCTTAACCCCTTGTGCCACCAGAGAGGCCTTCAAGGCCAATGTTTTTAGAAAAAATTTCTTAAATGCAAATTATCTTCAAACAGCCACCTTTACATTTTATAACTTAAGTGAAAGATGTAGAAAAGGGAAAATGCACCACGTGGCAGTGGTGACCATGGTAGTAGTAGTCTGCTATTTCATCAGTCAACTCCCTACCCAGTAGGATATACCTTGCTCCAACACCATTATTTGTATTTGAAATTCCTACGTGACCATGGTCACGTAGTTGACCATAGTCTGCTATTAACAGATAGCCCTTTTATTTTTAACTTGAAATTTAAGCTCTGATTAAACAATATGATTAATGAGAACACTTGAGACTTGCCTAAAATTGCTAACCTGGGAGCTTTAATGTTCACTCACCTCTAATTGTGTTTTTCCTAAGTGAACTTTACACTTAATTCTCTCTCTGGGAACATGAAGAAGTACACCACGTGTTGTGGCTGGTGGTCTCCTGTAGACCCCATCTCTTCTCATTTACCTGCAATTCTTGTATCTTTCTAACCTTCTCCTATAAACATTAATGCCTTGCCCATAACCCATAATTGCTTCATTAAAGTTCTTTTAATCTTATGAGGAAGATGTACCAATTTCAAGTCAACTTTTGATTAAAACAACTCTTTTTCCCCCCTAGGATCGTAGAAATCTATAGTAGAAGATTACAAGGTAAATTTTTCAACTCTTTTATTTGCAGAAAAACATTTTTTCTTAAGAAAAGTGGTTTTTGTGCTTATTACAGGGCAATACATATGACTTATGGAAATTAAAACTTCTTGGAATATAAAATAGAAAGTCTGCTACATTTTAAGCTTTCAGAAAAATCATTGTATTTACACATTCCTTCACTTTACATTTGTATGCATATACCAACAATTTAAAATCAATTTATTTTTATTATATTTAAACAAATTATATTAAAGCACACATACTGATTATAATGGGCTTTGCTTTTGTTTTTCCTTTCCTTTTTTTCCCTTACTTTTTTTCAAAATGCAATCTCATTTCCTCTGACTGTTTGGCATTCTATTGCATGACTGTGCTGTGACTTGATTTAATCAACCCTGTCTTTCCCCTGATAGACATTTGGGGATTTTGTCAGTTTTCAAATAGATGCGATTCTGCAGTGAACAGCCTAGTATGTATTCAAGGTTGAGTTGTTTATTCAGCACAGGAACTGCATTATTTAGGTTAAATCGTTGGTTTTCAACATTGTTCTAAATATTATTCCATAATTGGAGAGTAGCCCCATTTTAAACCTATGTGAGCTATTTTTTGCTCTACTCTATCTCCTTCCTCCATGGATGTGCTTATTACCAATATTCTGTTGGTCCTACTTGCACACCTAAGAGGCAGTTGCCAGCCTAATCCCTTCCCCACCGGTGCTGGAGGTCATGGGGATTCCCGTATTATACATGAGAGAATTAAATCAGACAGAGGCCTCCTGTGGCCCAGTCTGCAGACAGCAAACTGTTAAAAGATGTTTTGTGTTGACTCTCAAACCTCACAAAAGTCTGCTTTTTAAGATTTCAAATATTTCAAGAAAGTTCCGGTTACCTGTTTGTGTCAGACTCTTAATCTGAGCTTCTCATCACACCCACAGTCCAAGAGCGCCTTACAAAACAAATTGCCGTAGCAATCACAGAAGCTTTGCGACCTGCTGGCGTCGGAGTAGTGATTGAAGCAACGTAAGTCTGTATTTGTCTTTAATCATATCACAGTGGTGCATGAAAATGGTATTTAATGCAATTTGGTTTTTCTAGCACCAGGTCATGCCACACAATTGACAGTGTGACACCGACATGTTTTCCTCCTCTGAGCCTGAATCTCTTTTATCCTTTTCATTTACTGCGTTGCCAATAGAGGAGCCAGGGTAGGGGAGACTGGCTTTGGTTTGGGTATTGTTTGCTGGGGTGGTGGAGGATAGGGAGGCATGAGTTTAGGTGTAGCAATTTGTGTAACTAGTGGTGTTTTATGTCTTCTCTTGATTTTCAATTTGGCTCTTTGTTGTTCCAAGCAGTCTTTGTTTTTTAAAAATTTTATTGAACTACCATTGGTTTACATAACTGATAATAATTTTTAAGAATAGGAAGTCCCCTGCCTCCAGGTGCAGTCACCATAGTCCACCTATCACCAAAACACCCATGGCCCACCACCCTAGTTTATTGTGCTTGCTCCCCACTTTATTCTCACTCCTTCCCCTCACCACCCTGCTCCGATTCCTCAGTTCTATCCTCGGCTTTTAAGGTTTTCTAGTTTGATTTTTTTTTTTATTCCACATATGAGAGACACCATCAAGCTTCTGTCTTTCTCCTTCAACTTATTTCACTTATCATAATTCCTTACAGCTCCATCCATGTTGCCACAAATGGCATGAGTTTATCATTTTTGATTGCTGAGTAGTATTCCATTGTGTATATATACCACATATTCTTGATCTGCTCATTTGTTTTTGGTCACTTGGGTTTTTTCCATATCTTTTTTTTTTTTTAAAGATTTATTTATTTATTTATACAAGCACTGGGTACAGTCAGAAGCACGGAAGGTTGAGAGAATTCACCAGAGCCAGAGCAGGGAGCAGAGCAGGCAGAAGGACCGAAGTACACTGCTGAGGGGAGCAGCGGGCGGCAGGAGGGGTCTGCGCGCCATGCGGGACCCTCCTCCAGTGGCCGGGGAGCAGCCGGGGATCGAATTGGCGCTGCAGAGGTTGTGGACAGTTTCGCAACCCAGTGCTCAACTGCTGCGCCACCGGGGAGGCCCTTTCCATATCTTGACTATTGTAAATAATGCTGCAATAAACATGGGAGTGTAAGTTTCCTTTCAAATTGTTATTATTATTATATTTTTGTTAGAAAATAGAACTACTGGATCATATGGCAGATCCATTTTTAGTCTTTTCAGAAACCTGCACACTGTTTTTCATAGGGGCTGGACTAGTCTACATTCTCACCAACAGTGTAAGAGGATTACACTATTGTATACCCAGCATTTATTGTTTCTGGCCTTTTTATAAGGGTCATCTCACAGGTGTGAGGTGGTATCTCATTGTAGTTTTGATTTGCATTTCCCTGACAAGTGATGATGAACATTTTTTTCATGAGTCTGTTGGCTATATGTTTGTCTTTTTTGGAGAAGTGCCTATTTAGCTCTTCTGCCCATTTTTGACTGGATTATTTGTTTTCGTTTTGTTGAATTGTATGAGCTCTTCGTGGATCTTAGATATCAGTCCCTTGTCAGATGTGTGGTGTGCAAATATTTTTTAAAAAGATTTATTTATTTATGCATACAAGAGCTGGGGTGCAGTCCAGAGATGCAGAGGGTGAGAGGATTCACCAGAGACAGAGTGGGGAACAGAACAAGCAGACTGACTGAAATACACTGCTGAGGGGAGCAGTAGGCAAGACAGGAGAGGACCGCCTTGCCATGTGTGTTGCTCCCTGGCCGGCGGGGGTTCGAACTTGTGCTGCAGAGGCTGCGGATTTCTTCGTAGTGTGGTGCTTAACCCCTTGTACCACCAGGGAGGCCCAGTGCAAATATTTTTCTCCCATTCTGTAGGATGTCTTTTTTATTTAGTTACAGTTTCTTTGACTATACAGAAGGTTTTTCATTTGATGTAGTCCTAATTGTTTATTTCTCTTTTGTTTCCATGGCTAGTGGAGATGCATCCACAAAGACATCAGTCTGTGTTGTAGAGTGTTTTGCCAGTGTTTTCGTCTATATATATTATGATGTGGGGTCTTACATCCAAGTCTTTTTTCAATTTTGAGTTGATTTTTGTGTATCATGTGAGGTTGTGGCTAGTTTCATTCTTTTTTTAAAATTTTATTTTATGTATTTTTACATCATTTTTCATTTTTGCACAATTTGTACATTTTCATTCTTTGCATGTAGCTGCCCAGTTTTCCCATCACCATCCATTGAAGAGATTTTCCTCATTCCTCAGTATATGTTCTTGGCTCCTTTGTCATATAGTAACTGACCATACAGGTATGGGTTTATTTCTGGGCTCTCAATTTTATTCCATTGCTGTGTATGCCTATTTTTGTTCCAGTGTCATGCTGTTTTAATTATTGCATTATTTGAAATCTGGAAGTTTGATACTGTCTTTTTCCCTGTTTTTGGTCAAGATTGCTCTGGCTACTTGGGGTCTTTTGTGGTTCCATATAAATTTCAGTAATGTTTGTTCCATTTCTTCGAAGAATGCCACTAAAATTTTTATTGGGATTGCATTGAATCTATTGCATTGGTTAACAATGTTAATTCTTCTGATCCATGAACAGGAATATCTTTCCATGTCTTTATGTCTTCTATTTTTTTTTAAAGATTTATTTTATTTATTTATTTTATTTATTTATACAAGCACTGGGTACAGTCAGAAGCGCGGGAGGGTGAGAGAATTCACCAGAGCCAGAGCGGGGAGCAGAGCAGGCAGAAGGACCGAAGTACACTGCTAGGGGGAGCAGCGGGCGGCAGGAGAGGTCTGTGCGCCATGTAGGACCCTCCTCTGGTGGCCGGGGAGCAGCCGGGGATCGAACCGGTGCCGCAGGGGCTGCGGGCAGCTTCGCAACCCCAGCGCTCAACTGCTGCCCATATGTCTTCTATTTTTTTTTAACAATGTCTTATAGTTTTCTTTGTGTAGGTCCTTTACATTCTTTGTAAGTTTTACTCGTAGGTATTTAACATTTTTTGATATGATTATTAATGGGATCATTTTCTTAATTTCTTCCTCTTCAGCACAGTGTTTGCATATAGGAAGGCAACTGATTGTGTATTGATTTTGTAATCTTCCACTTTGCTGAATTTGCTTATCATCTTAATTAATTTTTTAGTGGAGTATTTAGGGTTCCGTTTATATATTATTATGTCATTTCCACATGGAGTTTTCTAATAATTTGTTACACATTTAATATAGACAGAGAGAGCTAAGAATGGGCACAAAGGGTCACTTCACAAGATACTTCTTCACATCAGAATGAGTGATAAGAATCGCACACATCTTGTGGGCAACATATTCACTCTGCTGGCCTGGCATGAACTGTGTACCCTGTTCAGCTTCAACGGGAGGCACTATCATCACTGTTCTCTGGATTTTACCTGGTGAGCCTAGCTTGCTTCACTATGTCTCTGAACACCTAACCTATCACAGTGCTGTCTTGTTCCTGAAAATACATGAAGCAAGAAGTCTGAGCTCCTTTTTGTCTAATAGTCATTATTTCTGGAGATGCTTTATATTATTTTCACCCAGGGAGAAAATTTCATCTTTTCTCCTCTTACTGGATTTATGAAGGATTTAACTGTGATAAGAATAAATACTATACAACTAAGAAACTTAACAAAAAAATCTTTTAGATCAAATTTGTCCAACAAGTCAGGTTTGCACACACTTGGTAACTGTGAACTCAGTTTAATGAGAATTAATCTTTCAGTCAGTTTTTTATTTTAAAAAACAAACCAACAGGGCCTCCCCTGGTGGCACAGCAGTTAAGTGCTGGGCTGCGAAGCTGCCCACAGCCTCTGCAGCGCCAGTTCGATCCCCGGCCTCTGGTGCGGGTCCCACATGGTGCGCAGACCTCTCTTGCTGCCCGTTGCTCCCCTCAGCAGTGTATTTCGTCAGTCTGCCTGTTCTGTTCCCTGCTCTGGCTCTGGTGAATTCTCTCACCCTCCTGTGCTTCTGACTGTACCCAGTGCTTGTATAAATAAATAAATTTAAAACAAACAAACAAACAAAAAAACAAAACAAAACAAAAAAACCCAAACTAACAACTGCCTACTCCATTAATCCACCTTTGTTATCTCGTTTTGTAGACACATGTGTATGGTCATGCGAGGGGTACAGAAGATGAACAGCAAGACTGTGACCAGCACGATGTTAGGTGTGTTCCGGGAAGATCCAAAGACTCGGGAGGAGTTTCTGACTCTCATTAGGAGCTGAGGCTCCGTGCACGCCACATGATTTGCTGCAGATCTTGCCACAAGTAGCATTGTATGTCTCATCTTAATTGTTTGTACATTCTCTTTTCAATTGTTACAGATGTGAACATTATTCCTTGTCATTAATTGTGTTTAATAATTATTTATAGCAAGTCAAATAAATATAATTAATAAAGGGGTGAGCCCTCTACTTTCTCCTTGCCACCTTTTAGTGGCATCATTTAAGCAAACTGCCGAGCGTGTAAGTTATATGCACAAAACCACTGCCATCAGATGACCCGAGGATGCTGGGAAGGGGGAAGAATTCATTTATTTTCTTCAATAATATGGTCAGTTGATTCATAAGCATAGGAGTATAGGGAATGGGAGAAAACTATGACCAATATACTGTTGTTTTCCTCTCTGAAATGATGTCGTGCTTAAAATAATTTATGTACAGTGTGTAGCATTGTTCTGCAAATTCAAAGTCCAACTGGCTCTACTTTAATCATGTTTATTAAACCACCAGTGATGCTTTATTTTTTTTATATATTTACATTTTAACTATCCAGTTGTGATGTTAGTCACCAAGGGAAGGTGGTGAAACATCTATGTTTTTGATTTTATTGTGAGTTAAAAAGGCACATTTCTACCTTCTATTCTTTTTTTTTAAATTCAAGTACAGGAAAGTAGTTCCTGGAGTTGTTTACGAGTGTATTCTCATGTCATCATATAGGGATTTAGACATTTAACTCTCTGTGCCTTGATGAGACTATCACACCATTTAGAGTGTAGGTAGCTTTGCCTTTTTTAAAAAGCCATTATTTTATGAGACTTAGTGCTGACACTGCAAATGATAAGTCCTCACAGTTTTACCTTTAGAAATTTCTTGGGAGCTTCCTTTGTGTGTCCACTTAGATGTCTCAAAACTTAAAACAACAACAACAAGCTTATCATCACTTAAGTGTTCCCAGAAACTTTTGAGAGGGTCCATCATTTTTAGGTCTGCAGAACCTCAGCTTCTGTGCTCATGAAAGAATGCAGAATGAACCAATTGTGGGCTGCATTATAAGCTACATCCAATTTCTAGTGAAAGCTGTATTGTTGATGTCTAGGAAAATTCATTGTAATTTTCTAGACTCACTGGAAAAATACAGAAGTCCCCATTCCCCTTCCCTTATGGTTGACATGGTTCTTGTCTTCAGTCTAGCTATTGAAATGGCATAGGTCTTTTTAGTCCAGGAAGTTGTTGCCTTCTTAATGATTATCTTAAAATTTCTTCCACCAGGGCAATGTGGGCCAAATTAAAACAAATGAAAAATCTCAACACTCCCACGAAAACACAAACACAGAAATTCCATGGAGAAGTTTCTTATTTGGTTGACATAGTGCTCTTCGCATTACCCTATTACCTTCAGAAGAATTAACGACAACACTTACTTTAAGCTTGGTAGCCCCGTGTCTGCTGCTTTCGTGCTGTTTGGTTTACAATGGGGCAAAATGGAGGAGGTAATTTAAAAAAATTACTCCCCCACTTCTGTTTTTATATTCGGAGTTTCTAAAGCACAGTGGTGGCTGATTGGAGGTCCCTTTTTCAACTCCAACCTGATGTAAACATTATCCTGCATAATATTTAGACAGAGGAAGAATTAAGCATTCAACTCATGTATTTAAAGTAATACAGGTGTGTGACTTGAAGGACCAAAGAAATTGTTAGCTATAAATTTATCTTTCTGAGATCAATCTTATTCTTTTTTAATGACTCATGCTCTAACATTCCCTATAAGTAGTCTCATAAAGGTCTAATGTATCCACAGGCTGTTGTCTTAAATGCACAGTAATGACCGTGTCTGTTTCATTCTGGTCTGTAGTACTTCAGAATTACTTTTTCACATTCATGGCCTTGAGTCCATTTGGGGCATTTTTAAGAATTTGATGCATTTAAATACAATGTTCAATTATTCCTCTGAATTTTATGTATGTATGTGTGTGTATATTCTAAAGTTGGTTCTATTTAAATTATTAAAGTATTATAATTTTGTTCCTGTGAAAGTAGTTTCTTTTTGAACTGCTCATTTAGATATATCAATACATTTGATTTAATTCTGTTTTATCGCAGATACCCCTCAAAAAGGCTTCTCTCAGTGTCAAGCTATTAAAGTGTAAATTGCAGTGGGAATACAAATCAACCCTGGGTTCTCTGTTTTCCCTCAGTATTTGGTTTGGGTATTATTGTCCTCGCCCTCCTGCTGGTAAAGGGAAGGAAAGATCTGGGGTTAGAGTAAGGAATAGAGCCCAAAAATCCCTGTTGTATAAGCCTAAATTTAGATAATTGCAGTCTCCTGAGAGTTGGCACTGCTTTCTGTGTGGGAGCTGTTGAAGGAAAAGCAGACAGGCAGAGATCAGAGCGGTGCAGGAAGCAGAAGATGATGGGAGAACCCACCGTGGGCAGTACTTCCAAGTATGTGCAAAGATTTTGCCGCCTCTTTTCTTGTGACCTTGTGATTCCCTCTTTGGGGAGGTCTCTCTGTTCCCTGCTCCACCTAAGCTGAGGAACCAGCCTCTGGTTGTTGGTATGTACAGGTGCTGGGGCACTGGAGCGCTCTGCTCCTCCTGAAGGACCCCATAGCATGGGTATTGAATATACTCACCCTAACGTGGATGCTTATTGAGATAAAGTCTTCCTAAAACCACAACTCACATGTGTCAATGAAACAATGAACTGCTCGACTGAGCCTAAGTTGCTGCTCCTGAGTTTTTTGTTTTTTGTTTTGCTGAAGATTGATTGCTGAGCTCCTTGTTTTGGCACTTAGTGGAAAGCAGTTGCAGACTGCAAAGGTTTTAGGAAGGTGTCAAGCAATACAGCACACCCGGATTCACCATTCTAGACCTGGGTCTTCCTGTTGATGGTGAGGAGGAGATGAGCTCAGGATGATTGTAAATACCTGATAGCCCCCACCCTCCCAGAGGCACTTGCTTTATGTTTATTTTAGTTTTTATTATTTAAAAAACATATAAAGCAGTAGACAGGATATGAGTAGCTGAATTCTCATATATCCAGCACCCATTTCACCCAGCTTCAATAAATCTCAACTCATGGCCATCTTAATTCCTCCAAACTCCCATCCCCACTCTATTTCAAAGCAAATCCCAGACATCATTTCATCCATGAATATTTCAGATTATCTAAAAGAAGATAAATTACCTTAAAAAGAAAAAAAGCAGGTACAGTGCATTATCACACAAAAATTAATGCTTTAATAGAATCTATCCAGTCAACATTGAGTTTTCTCTTATTGTCTCATAATTTTTTAGTTTATTTGAATCAAGTTATAAGTGAGGTCCACACATTATTATTAATTGACCTTAACTTACAATCTTAATCATTTTAAATAAGTGTACAGTACATTAGTTACTATACACACATTGTTGTGCAATGTTTCTTTAAAGCTATAGATTCATCTTTTCCCTATAATTTACTGGGGTTATTTGGAAAGCCCTATTTTACCCCAAGAAATCTCAACTGCTGGAATGTCTGTGGCCTCTTCATTATCATTTCAGCTAAACAGAGCAAAACAGGTTGTTCTCTGCTACAGAGCTGCTCCGTGCCCTTAAACTCCGGCAGTTTTAAAACATCTGCCACATGGCTTCCCTGACCAATTTGGTGGGTTCCTTGGCTGCGTGATTTTGGTCAGGTGGAAGGTTATTATAGGACTGGAAATATGAATCCCACAAGACTTGGCTTCACTATGAGGGCCTATGCCTGGGGAATTCCAAGGTTTGTTTGGATGGAAGTGATTTGTTTGCCTGGGAGTCTGACTCCTTCAACATTTATACCACCCTCTGAGTCAGAGCACCGGGCTCTGGCTGACCTAAGTTGGGGAGGGAAGTGATACACCAGGTCTTGTACTTAGGCTGCTGCTTTTATTCTCACCCAAAGGTGTAGTTATGACTTGCTTACAAGCCCTGTTGGGATGACTCTTAGCACAGGCATTATATAACCCTAGTACGTCTACCCGATTTTTCTCTTATTTCTACATTTTCCTGTTTGGTTTGAGCAATGTGTCCACAACTGTGACCTTTTGAGAAATACTTTAACTTCTGGAACTGACTGTGCTGCCCAAAGAGACGTGGTTTGACTGTCGGTAAGCGCTGAGAGGCTGTAATGAGGGAATCCTGGGAGGAAATGCTGGGCGTGTGAAGCTTCCTGAATGAAAACTGTCTCTGAGGCTGTCACCCATAAACCCTGGAGATTTTCTCCTGATTTAAGGATGAATTATTTTTTCCTCCTTCTTCTGTATCTTGTTTGAAAATGTGCTGAATGAACAGGCAAATGAAACATTTTTCCTTCTAATTTCTCTTTGTGGGGTTTCCCATTTGTTAATGACACTATAACAGTCATTTCTATCTGGACCGGTCAAATCTTTTATGGTAATTTTTCTCTCTTTAGGGCTATTTCACTTCCAAAATGAAGGCTAAATTAGGAAACACAAAAAATTGGTGAATAAAAAAATCATTTTAAAATTGAGTGACAGGGATCACAATGTTGTTTCCTATCAATCATTTGGAAAGTAACATACACAAAGGACAAGTGATGTCAGAGCAAGATTTTTTCCTTGTCAGTCCTGGGTATGCTGAATGCTGACTTGCCTATGAGCCAGGGGTGTGTGAACTTGAAGTCCTTCTCCAAATCTTCTCTGGCCTTTTCTTGCTTAGCAATTGTCAAAATCACCTCACAATGAAGGGGTGGGAGGAGAGTGACTGTTTATATCAAAGCATGAATATTTTATTAACAGAATTTCCATGTAAATTTAATACTAAAAAGAATTATAAATAAAATATTGTGCGCACTTAAGTATAGATAGGTCAGCTAGACCACTATACGAAAGAAGATTTAAATCAAAGTGAAACCCCTGAGTCCTGAGAACTAGTAGTGTAGGATTTCTAGCTTTCAGTTTTGGGAGTCTGGGAGAGAAATCTTTCAGATTTATGTTGTGTGAGTGTGTGTGTGTATGTGTGTGGGTGTGTTCTCAGCATTAAATCTGGAAAAGTTGTTATAAGGTGCTACTTTTTAAGTGGGATATATTAAAAGTTTAATAGCACTTTTCACAAGTATCATTCCAGCAACTTAAGTAAGTTTATCAGCAAGCTAGGCGGAGTTCAGGGAAGATGAGATGCTTGCATCACTTGCACTGGCTTGAAGACCCAAGGTTCCTATCGCTGTGATTCTCCATCTGTTGGTCTCTCTATTAGCCAACGAGCCCCACCTTTTACATCACCTCTAGCTCACCCTTACAGATGGGTAATCTTTTTCACTTAATCTCTTTAAATTTGAGCCCTCATTTTTTTGGATTGGAATCAGATTTTTTTAAAGGTGTATGCAGTCGGCTTGCTCTTTGAACTCAAAAGTGCCACGGGAGTCGCTGTAAGGTAGGAGTGTGAATTGGCCACCTGCAGTTCCATCTGGTCACAGTTTTAAAAATGTAAAAAAAAATATTTTTAAGACACAGTAAAAATTTTATTTTTTAAACTAGTACTAGTAGTGAGCACAATTCAAACAATACCGGGCCTCCCCGGTGGCGCAGCAGTTGAGTGCTGGGTTGCAAAGCTGCCCACAGCCTCCGCAGCGCCGGTTCGATCCCCGGCTGCTCCCCGGCCACTGGAGGAGGATCCCGCATGGCCACAGACCTCTCCTGCCGCCCGCAGCTCTCCCTAGCAGTGTACCTTGGTCCTTCTGCCTGCTCTGCTTCCCACTCTGGCTCTGGTGAATTCTCTCACCCTCCCGTGCTTCTGACTGTACCCAGTGCTTGTATAAATAAAAATAAATAAAAAATAAATAAAAAAATAAGATGCCTAAAAAAAAAAAAATCAAACAATACCAAAGGATATTAAGGAAAAGCTTGCCTTTACTTCTGCCTCCAAGTGAGTCACACAATAAATCAGGAATATTTTATGAAATGCTTTATTATTAGTATAAGAGGGAAACACTTTTCTCCCCATCTAGGCTGACTGCGCATATTTCCTTATGGTAGAATAAGTGACTTGAAAGTGATGAGTGTTTTCTGTAATTATCTATCAGCGTGTAAGCTCCATTATGATTATTTCTAGTGTTAATCACTCAATGTTAGATGCTTTCTCTGAAAAAAAATTTTTTTTAGCAAAAGCATCTGCAAAAAATGCTCCACATGCACTTTACAGAACTTTGACCACCTTAGCAAAAGAAAAATGCATGTAGTGAGCTGTCTAAAGCAGAAGTTCTTTTAAATTTTGGTTTTCTTTCACTTTTTACCTTTTTTTTTGAATTGGTAATATATTTATCTGCATAAAATTCAAAAAGCTTAAGAAGACATACAGTGAAAAAGAGTCTCTTGCTATCACCAGCCACCTAGTTCCCCTCCCCAAAGTCAGTGTTTTTTATTACCTTCTTATGTTTACTTCCAAAATATTTAAGGCATGGATTCAAAAGAACACCTTTACACCTATGTTTATTGCAGCACTATTTACATTAGGTAAAACCTGGAAACAACCCAAATACCCAAAAATAGATGACTGGATCAACAAGATGTGGCATATATACACAATGGAATATTATTCACCAATCAAAAAAGATAAACTCATGCCATTTGCAGCAACATGGATGGAACTAGAAGGAATTATGCTCAGTGAAATAAGCCAGAAGGAAAAAGAAAAATGTCAGATGGTTTCATTTATAGCAGGAATATAGGGGAACCAAATAAGACATCAGTGTAAAAAATGATAACTGTACAAAACACAACAAGCAAAACCAGCCAATTATAAATCAGAGACATCCTGCAGGGAAAGAGGGAAGAGAGGGATCAGAGGGAGGGAGGGAGGAGCACAGGGGACTGAGGTGATGGTGCACGGGTGCCTTGGTGAAAGAAACTCTATGGGGACTACACCTGAGGGGCTGGTGGGAAGCAAATATTGTTTAAAAATGAACAATGATGTAAAAAATAAAAAAAAAATAAAAAAAATTTAAGGCATGTACAAGCAAATTCATATACACAAACAATGCAATTTAC